TTTTTTTTTTTTTTTTTTTTTTTTTTGCCATGACTTGAACTAAAGTTGTTGGTCCGGCGACTCAGTAAGGCAACAGAAAAGGACCGGTACACGACAATCCACGTTTAAAGTGAGAATAGTAGAGACTGGAACACAAATCCTGCATGATTCTTTATGCACATATATAAAACTAATTAAAAGCATTGGCTGTGCGACAACTGCACCAAAAGACATTTCTGATCAGCAGTATTATGTGATATGGCTCCCCCCTCAGGGCGTCCTTCCGTCAGGGGACGACACAAGCACTCAAGGGGGAAAGAAAAAAGTTTCCTCTTCGGTCTTGGTGTGCAACGTTTTTAGCGTTCCTCCACGTTTTCAGAGTAACATAAAAAAAAATGATGCCTGTACAATCTGGCATCACAGCTCAAAGTGGAAATAAATTCAGCATGAAATAAGTATTTTCACACTAAATGCTCTTAAAGGATTAAAATAAAAATGAAAACAAGATTAAGTGAAACAAAACAATAATAATAGTAATATTAATAATAACAAGCAATAAGCTGCAAAGAATATAAACAATCTGCATGTTTTGCAGTATTGTTGTTTCATTTTGTTTTTGCTTAGGTTATTCTTGTTGATGTTTATTGTTTTTTTTTGGTTTATTTTTTTTCTTTTTAGAATGAACAATAATTGAAACGCCCCATGTTTTTTTCTCTTCTTTTTTTTTGTCATTGTCTTTTAGTTGATTTCCTCTTGTGTTTTTCTTCTCAGGCTTTTTGGACATTTAATACGAGCACAGAGCAACAATAAACTGCAAGCAATAAATAACATAAAAATAAAAATAACAGCTAAAACAAAGATGTTCAGACCTTTAATTCATGTCCTAATGGCCAATTCATTTCCCAGCAAGTCACAATAAAAACCAACAAGAGGGTGGAGCACTAACCAATAACATGTCTAAAACATTTAAAGTGCTTTTTTGGTTGTTTTTTTATTTACTTATTTGTTTGTTTGGTTGTTTATTTGTTTGTTAGTTAGCTAGTTTGTTTATTTATTTGTTTGTTAACTAGTTTGTTTATTTGTTAGTTAGCTAATTTGTTAGTTGTTTGTTAGTTAGCTAGTTTGTTTGTTTATTTGTTTGTTTGTTTCTTTATTTTTTGTTTGTTTCATGTGTATTTTTAAGCTTTTTGAACAATTAGACAAATGATGGAGGTAACAATAAACTTCCGACAACACATTAATATTTCCACACACGGAAAACAAATTTATTAAAACACTGAAGTTTAGAGCTCCTTTGATATTTTCTCGATCTCTTCCAGTTTCTGGAGGAGAATATCTGCGATTTCTATAGCCTCTTGCTTGTCTGCCTCCGTTTGAGCTCGAAGTTCTTGTTCCTTCTTCAGCTTCTGGTCCATCTCTTCAAACAACGCTTGGAACCGCCCGATCTTTTCCATCTCTGCCTGGACCATGAGTCGCTTCGCCTCTTGGAGCTGGAGGTCAGATTTGGGGCTCTCGCAACCGTCCGCCCTGATCACAGGCGAACGCTCCTTGGACGAGTTCTCAATTTCTTCCAGTTTCTTGAGGAGGATCTCGGCGATCTCCACTGCCTCCTCCTTCCCTGCCTTTGTGCGGGCCAATGCGTCTCGTACTCTGTTGATTTCCTGGTTGATTTCCTCGCAGAAGACACTGATGGACTTGACGTGGTCGCTGATCTCGGCTTCGGCCTGGAGCCTCAGCTTTCTCTCTTCTCGCAGCATGTCTTCCAACTGCTGGTTGCCGCCTTTAACTTTCTCCCGAGTGTGCTCTCCGCCCTCACCTGAGCACTCCATTGGCGGCTTCTCGATCTCTTCCAGTTTCAGGATGGCGATCTCTGCTATTTCCACAGCCTCCTGTGTGTCTGTCTCCGCTCGGGCCCTGAGGTCTCGCTCTCTATTAAGTTCTTGGTCCATCTCTTCGGACAGAACCCTCAAAGCTTGAAAATGCTTGTTGCTTTCCGTTTCCACCTGGGCCCTCAGCTCTCTTTCTTTTCCAAGCATTTTCCGAAGTTCCGCGACTTCGCGATCCACTGCAGGCCCTTTGGACATCTTCTCCAAACGTTTCAGTTTCTCCTGAAGCGCCCGTGCGTTTTCCACAGCTTCCTGTTTTTCATTCTCACCTTGCAGTCTGAGTTTTTTTTCCTCCTGCAACTCTTTCTGGACTTGCTCCAGCTTCAGTTCAGCCAGCTCCAGTTCGAACTTGTGGTTGGCGTCGAGGCGGCAAACGACATCTTCGTGTTTCTTCTTCAGGCTGCTCAGCTCCTGGTGGTGCTCCTGCATTAAGTGGCAACAGGCTGAAGCTTTTGGGTTCTTGGCTTCGGCCTGCTGAAGTTTGTCCTTCAGCTCCTGGATTTTCTGCTTCAAGACCTCGTTCTCCTGAGTCAGCACCTTGTTCCACTGTTGGAAGATGTTTGAAGGTTGACGAGCTCCAGTGCCTTCCATCGTCTTGAGCTTAGCAAGTTTTCGCTTGGTGCAAATGTTCTCTCTCGCAGTTCACTGGGAAAGTGACCTATTCTATAGCGAGCTTCTAGAACATGTTGCATCTATGACTTGCCACATGTGACTTGTCTAGAGCAGGTCACATGTTCTAGACATGTAACCTGTCCAGAACTTGAGACTTGTTCTAGAGCAAGTCACATGTTCTAAACATGTGACTTGCTCTAGAACTTGTGACTTATTCTAGACAACATGCCATGTCACCATGACGTCGACATGGCATGTTGATGTCATGTCGCCATGATGTCACCTGCCATGGCCTACATGTGACGTCATATCGGCGTGACGCCACATATGTCAACAGTTCCGGGTTCCAGATCCACCAAACTATGGAGATTTATGAACGAGAGTTTAAAGTTTAGTCACTTTCAGCAGACTGAACACAAGTAAGTGTTGAATAAAGGGATATCAGAAGGAAAATCCTTATGAGGAGAGACCCAATGCAGGTCATTAGAACCATTATGAACAGCTGCTGTTTTCATAACCCCATCGTTAAAATTAGACTATAAAATCAGGTTCTACTTATTTCTTTGTAGAGTTTTTTTTCCACAATGACAGCTCCCAAAAAATAACTTTTCCCATTTTATCTCCACACACCAAACCTTTTCATACATACGAACCTACAAGATACATGAAATAGAAGTAATATATGTATTTACAAATTATTTAACTGAGGGCAATTGGTTGCACTGGATTTTATTTAGTGCATCGGAGTGAATGAGGCTGAAAAAGAAATCACATACACAGCAGAGGCTTGTGTTTTGAATAATGGCGTAACATCTCGTTTACCATCTCGCTGGGCGAGTGTTAGTCATCTTGTGATCGGAAGGTTGTACGTTCGATTTCAGCTTCCTCCTGGGAAATGCACTTAATCCTACGTTGCCTACCTATCTGTGTATAAATGTGTGTGTGAACGGGTGAATGTGACTCTAGTGTAAAGTGCTTTGAGTGGTCAAAAATGATTAGAAAAGCGCTTTTTTTCTAGTCCATTTCCCTTAAAATCTGATCTAACACACAGAATCCCCTCTCTAAAAATCAGAACACCACTGTGGGTTTAATGCGAAAGGTTCTGCAAAAGTATCTTATCACAGATTTGAGAAGAGTTCAACTTGCGAAGAGAAGGGAAAAACCCGTACTAATAGAGTTTTTCTGTGGTCTCTGCTCCTTGTTTGTCCCCCCCCCCCCCCCCCCCCCTCAAAAAAAAAAATACAAAGACTTCTTATGCTTTGCTGAGCTTGGATTAACCGTTGTCATCTTCCATTTACAAAATAATTGACATCCACAAGGGCCACGAAGATGCTTCATCGGCCCAGGATGAAGCCAATCCGCACATAATGGCCAATAAAGCGGCTGATGAATGAACGGCACGGTTTAAAATTAAGCCCTGAATCATCTTTGAAGTTGACTCTTTGGAGATGCGGGAGAGACATTAGTTGCCGGGACAATATCCAGATCTCTGCTTCCCCACTCAACCCCCTGTTTTTTTTTCTCTCTCTCTTTTTTTCCCCTCCTAAAGACTGCTGTTTGGTGTGCAATTATATTTAACAATAGGCCAAAGCCAGTGGAGGATGCAACCCGTTTCCATGGAAATGATTATGATGGATTTGTGGATAGACAGAGCAGGTAATTGGAAAAAGATTGATGGGTGACAGAGTGAAAGAGTGAGGCAGAAAGAGATAGATAGAGAGAGGGAGGGATGAATTACCCGACGCAGCAGTGGGAGGAAAGAAAGTCCTATTACACCCCATCTTTGTAGGATTTACAATTATTAAATGATGCATCCTTTCTCATTCAGTCAACAGGCAATCATTCTTTCTTGCTCTTGTAGTCTCTCTCTCTCTGTCTCTCTCTCTCTCTCTCTTTTTTTTTTGCTATGTATTAGCCCTCTCTTTTCAACCATCATCCTGTTTTCTCCCTTTTCTCGCCCTACTCGCCCTACTCGCTATTTCTCCCCACTGACTCCAAAGAGAAAAGTGGGTCCATTGTGTAAAATTCCTCTCATTATCACTCGGCGCGGAGAAGTGCTGCAGAGGTCCGGAGACACCCCTGTGCCGAAGCTCTTCCGCAGACACATCAGCAGAAGTAGCGAACAGGGAACGTAAAAGACGCGGCGTCTCCGTAATGACATGTTTTCGCTTATTGCGGAGGAGCCTTGAGGTTGGAGAGGCTTTCTGACGAGCGGTAAGTCACCGAAGAGGAGGCGCCGATTAGAAATGATAGATAATAAGGTGGGGGAGAAATATACTGTCAGTCTGAGGAGGACGCAGAAATAGAAGTGCGCACTGTGCACAGGAAAGTTACCACGAATCGGTGTGCGTTTTCAACACGTCCAATGAAAGTTATCCGATTTATTTATCACTTTACAATTAATTTTCTAAAACCATGACAAAAATATTTGGAAGTTTGTGGTTACAACAAATGGGAAGAAGTATGAATGTTAGCAGGGCACGTGCAGATCAGTTTTTGCGGTCATGCTACGACTAACATCACACCTAACGTGATAGCTGAGATGTTAGCAGTAAAGTAGCTACTGCTAACATCTCAGCTATCACGTTAGCTATTTTACTGCGTTTTATTAGGGAGTTGGGGCAACTGGGCTGAAAAATGGCCACTCTTCGTTTGCAACCAAAATATTTTGGAGAAAAAAAATTGGGGAAAAAATTTTAAACATTTTTTTTATCTACTTTCAAGTGCAAATACGTTAGTACACTTGAATTAACGCCAAAGTAACTCACAACTTTTCAGCAAGATATAGGAGCTTGTTTTTAGTCAATAATTCCTTAATACTGATGAAAATGTGCTCCACTGGTAGATTATTTCACTTACATGGGGAAAATAGACTGCCAATGGAAATAGTGCTTTTTAAAATCAACATTAATATCTTCATATCTTGATAAAAAAATTACTTGTAAGTTAGTTTTGTTTTATTTCAAGTGTACTCAGATATTTGCACTTGAAGCTAGATCAAAAATATTTTGGTTTTGCAGTGTGTGTGTGTTCACATATCACCATTCTGTTGAGCCAGGCACCTAAACCCAACATTTTAAATGAAAGTGCGCACATTTAAAATTGTATCTGGGTGAATGTGGTTCCTTAGTGAAAATGCTTTGACTTGTCGGTATGACCAGAAAAGAGCTCATGCATAACTGGTAGGTTTAAGGAAAAGAAATGGATTTTGAGCATGTCTTATAAATAAAAACAAAAAATGTGTGTGTTACACATGTCCAGTCATCTTCACATACAATGTCATAGAACCTGGTCTGTTCGTAGTTACAGCATCAAATGGTTTGGGGAATTTCTCTTCTAGCTTTAAGTAGAGCCAGATTGTTTGTCTGCAAAGTAGCCGTAACTTTTATCAAGAGATAAGTACAATATAACTACTTATTTATAATCTTTTTTTTTTTTCCAGTGAGACGCTGCTTTTATCTAGAGAATTGCACCCAAGGTTTTATTGTTACAGTGAGAATAAAGATTCTATTTTAATTAAACAGAAACACGCTCAACACAAACGTTAGAAGGACGAGCATGTCAAAGAAATGCTGCTGTATTCTATGTAAATCAGGCAAAATGGTGTATAGGCTATTCAGCGATAAAGCATATAAATGAAGCAAAATCAAAAGTTAACACAAATTAAATACCATATTGCTCTATTACAGAAAAGAATGAGAAATGGACAGCATTATAAGCAGAGATCAACGCAAAGATGACTAACCAGAGTTGACTCGAAACACAAATGTCACTTAGAATAAAACAGAAAGAAAGCCAGGAGGGATGGAAGGTGGACGGGAAAGAGGAAGAGGACCGTAAGGAAGCTTATGAGATACACAAGGAAACAAAAATAAAGTTTTAAAGGAAGAAATCATCTTTCCGCGTAGCACTGAAAAGAAATCCGGGTTACCAAACGGCAAAAACATCAAAACTAATGAAAACGAATCTCCACTAATAATAATAATAATAATAGGATATAATGGTTCATCCACAGACCCAGCAGTAAGTTGTCTACATGCCATCCTCGCCCTGCGTCCGGTCCTCCAGTGACAGGAAAACAGAAGTGGGACTTCTGGCGAGAAACACACAGCTTCACCTCAACGTGAGACACTGAGGTGAAGACATTCGTTAGACAGAGCGTGTGCTGCTGGCCTTGACACCTACACACACACATGCAGACAAACACACACACACCTTTTGTCTGACTTACCAAGGCCCTGACAGCTCAGCGACATGCTATGCTTGCTATAGACACTTTCTCTTCTGTGTTTCATCACTTTGAGGCAGAGGGGTGAGTGGGGGGACAATGGAGCAAAAAATGTCAACCTCTTTATTTGTCCCTCGTTCTATTTTTCTTTCATTCTCCACAGTGACAACTGCGATCATTTCTATTTATTCCCCGACAATAGTTTTTTTGTCCACTGGAGCCACGCGGCGCTCAGATAAAAACGGCGACTTAAAAGGATGGGAGCAGGTGAGAGCGCTGTCTCCACGTTGCCACGTTTGATCACTAGCAAGAGCGCTATGAGCTTTAGAGTCAACCAGACTGGAGACGTCGCCGACAATGCAGAGGGCTGTTTTCAGCTCCAGAGGTATTTATTCTCCTTTTGCTCAAGCGAACCTCTTTGCATCTGGGTCCAAATCAGAGGACTTGATGTTGAATTAACGTGAACACCGCCAGCGGTTATCCTCACAGACTCTCTCTATGGATGAAAAAAGGCAGAATCTGACTTTACTTTTTTTTTTTTTTTTTTTTGCTGAGTAGGCAACACTTCATCTTCTCAGCTGTTTATAATGTAATCAATAGCTGTCAACTTCACCACCTGAGGTGGTTGTTGATGCAGACGTGAAAGCAGAAGCATCAAAGTGTGGAAAAGACAGTTGGATTTGTCGAGTGGCATTTCCACACACTGCAAAGACACAAAATCTTACCAAGTAATTTTGGTCCAGTTTCCAGTGCAGACATCTTACTACTCTAGAGATAAAAGAAAACTAACTTACATGTGACTTTTGAGCAGGAAATGTGAACTTTAAAAAATTAACAGTTTTTCCCATGTTATAAGTGAAACAATGTGTCTTT